CCAAGTTAACATTCTACTGGCGGTGGCCATGGCAACGGAAATGCGATTCCTCTGCTTACGCCACAAAAAAAAAAAATAAAATAAAATAAAATAAAATAATAATAATAATAATAATAATAATAATAATAATAATAACAATAATCCTACTTAATTCCGGTTTCGATGGTTTTCCGCATTGTTCTCAGGATGTCTTTGCTGATATAAGAAAATAATTTATATCCAGATCAAATTTGACCAGGGGAGTGGTAATACCTTTTTTTTTCAACATTTTTTTTTCCTTTTTCTTTTGCCAAATTTAATTCATTTAATTAAAAAAAAAAAAAAAAGATAATACTAGCTTCCATGAAGGCAGACCTTGTTTTTTCCTAGAAAGTGTTTTTTATGCTCTTTTAGATCAGATATAGTAAATATAGATATAGTAAATATTTATTGAGATATTAAAGAAACAAATTGTACGGAATTTTTGTGCGTTCTTGGGTTTGACTAGAATGAAAGAAAGGCGACTGACACATGCATTTGATAGCACAAAGGGATGTGCTGTTTATGTGGAGCGTATGTATGATGCGCGCTAGTGAAAACCAGCATTTTTATCTTATCCCGAAATACTTGTGAACTAGTATTTGGAAAGATGACCTTCAAAATGAAGCAAAATTTCTGGCACACATCAGTCATGGAGTTTTGAATTTGACGCAACTCTGGTGACACAAATTCTTCAAATTACACAGTCTCCAACCTTCACGAAAAGTGACCCCGTAATACACTCTCTGGCTGAATTATTCTGTGCGTGGGGTGCAGTATGAGTGTCCAGCTCTAGCCGCGCTTATGTACAGCTGTTTCGACAAAGGTTGTACAGCAAAGAGTATAAGGTCTAAGCAAAAACGCCTTAAAGTATTATCGGAATGGATAGTTTATCATTACTTGATTGGGGCTCACAGCAACAAGGAAGGAGAAAGAATGAATGCACATGTCTACGCGGTCTCCTTCTAGTAAGCTGAAACACCGTGCAACAGTAAACTTTTATTTCCCACAATATTTCTCGGCTTTGTTGTATACATGTTGACCCTCTCTCTGTTCAGTGAATGAATTTTTATCGTGATGTTTCCCTCCTTACAGAGGACAGGAAGAAGACGAATGATGTGACAATGAAGTATTGAGTCACTCGCAGATAGCACACTGATAATAAACATCAATGGAAGTATACAAGCACTCTTGGAGTTCGCTCGCTTTAAATATTAGAAAAAAAGTAGTTTGCTGATCTTACTGCAATACTGAAATGGTAATACGAATGGTTTCGCTAAAATTGCCCAGACTGAAAATTGATATTTGTCTGCTGGCAACAGCTCGCGAAGATTTCCTCTGTCGTCTGATTCAACCACAAAATTTACTGAGTAACATTATAATCCACTTGTGAATTGCCATTCAAGAACACAGGCTTTAAAGGACGTCTAGATCTGATAATACTCAAATCACCATTCTTAATCCATTACAACTTAGGGAGTAGTCAATAAAATTTTAGTCAATCAATCAATCAAACCATAAGTCAATCAATCAATTGCAATCAATTAATCGATCAATAAAGAATTAGAAGTCAAGGCAATCCTTGCATACGGTGGCTGCGCCCGCAGTACGAGATGCGGTCAAAACGACACGATACGATAATAGTCTTTTTCTTCACAGCTACCAAAAAATAGAGACAATTCTAAGTTGCTTTGGCTTCTTCTTATACTCCAATCAAGAATTCTGGTTTTAATTAACTCGACGAGGAACAGCATATTTTGTTCAAAATGTCTAAAGTGACAACTATAGTCCTATCTGGCGACAGCGATCGACGAGCGAGTTGAATTGCCGAGTGCGGACGACCCACTTTTGGCGCCAAATTCAAAGGTNGTGACAACTATAGTCCTATCTGGCGACAGCGATCGACGAGCGAGTTGAATTGCCGAGTGCGGACGACCCATTTTTGGCGCCAAATTAAAAGGTTAGAGACGCAAAATGCTTCATATTTTCACTCTTTACAATCTGATATGGCTTTTGGAGTCAAAAGTCCTTTTTCGTAAATATTTAATGCCGTCTCCAACGTTCGATATATCAAAATTCTAACATGGCTCCGAGGCTTTCAAGACAAACTTCTACGTTTGGCGGTGTTTTCTTTGTATCCAAGTCTCTTTTGGGCATTGAAAGACAAAAGGGAAACTTGGGGAAAAAAAATGGCAATTTTGACCCGAAAGTCTCGGATCGATGTTGGAATATTGGTATCTCGAACGTGGCCTATTAACATGCATTTGACGTCAGGACAGTAGAGTTTTTCCCGCCTGCAGAATCTTGACTATTACCATTATTGCTACTTTTTTTTAATTTTTGTCACTAATTTAGTACAAGTAAAAATTTAGTCGTGTTATTTTCCTAAGTATTGTTAGTATCGTTGTAACTAAACTTACGATATTGTGAGAAATGCGTGTTACTCTTAACTGGTAATTAATGTTACTATTGTAAGCTATGTCAGAATAATAAGTAAAATTAGTGTTCTAACATTAAGTGATATTGTCAACTTGTAAGTAAGGTTAGTACAGTAGATAGTATTGTACGTAACGTAGCCATTTTAACTTTTGAACTTCGCCAGCCACAATAAAAATATGAATGTTAAGAAGGATTATGTGTTCCGTGAGCTGGTAATGTTCATGAACAGCTGACGAATTACTCGAAAGATGTTCCTTTACTCGATTTTCTAATAAACGAGAGGTTTCGCCAACATATTCTTCGTCACATTGTTTCCAATAGCTGTAATAGGCTGTTCCACACTTTTTTAAGATCACTGTTTTATCCTTGACATAAACTAGCTGTGATCTAAAAGGAATTTAAAGGCTTGTGTACAAGTGTGGCGTCTTGTGATTTAAGAGTGGCTGCCTGTAATAATCAGACAAATTCTTAATTTCGCGGCAAGGGTCGAAAATTCGATTTCGCTCATATTCTTATGGTAGATAGGCTTGGGCATGACAAAAACTACTGGATAGTTTTTTTTTTGGCAAAATATCCTTTTATTTCAAAGAAATATGCAAATTACTAAATTCAGTTAAAATCGTCATTTGACGCACCATTTTATTAAGCAAGTCTGAGAGCCTCCCATGCAAAATCCCATCATTCTTCCGTCTTTAAAACAATCAAATATTTTTGTGTAATGTTTAAATGTGTACTGGGTTGATTTTAGGGAATATGGCGGGTTTGGGAGCAAAATAATTAAATTTCGAAGACATGTATTTCATTCACTTAAAAGTACTTCGTAAATATAATTAATTTTCACCATGTGCGAAACCTTCAA